ATGATTTTTGAAAAACTAAACTAATATTTATTCCTAACTCTTATTCTTTAGGATAGATACTGCATGTATCACATGAACCTACAATTCTTTCAGTTTTTCAATTCCACTAACCAAAGATAAATATGCTTTTTGTTTTATGATTTACCCTCACATTTATAGCTAATATCCGGCTTTGTTTTAGAAAAAAATCATCTGCATACTACATTGCTAATAGGCTTGACTCAGTCATTCCACTGTTATTGCACATCTCATATAGCAACTATAAATTTTATTCAAGAATTTATATATCCTCAATTACAATTGCTTTAAAGGAGTGTTAAGAGAATTCATACTGTTCCACAGTGCTGATGTCCCATGACTTTTCTTGGAAAGCAATCTTAAAAACCTGTTTCCAGTATTTATGTAAAACGATATTACCATGTACATCAATTTTCTCAAACCTAGTGCTGCTAGTTCTATTAGAAATACAACTCCCAGAATTACCAACCAAAGGTCCAACAGATTTTTATTTATGTGCAAATTTATATCTTAGTCTTCTGACATTGACACATCATATGCAGAAGATACCAGGCTTGAGAGGTTATTGAATATAAGAACAAATCATTATAAATAAATAAACACATAAATAAAACTAAAGCATTACAAATAGCCTTTAGCAATTCTAATGAAACATGGGTTCAAAATAAAAGTCCTACCCAGATGTTCCAATGCTACAACAGAACTAATAAATAACTCAAAGGGATAAATTAATTAGGTTGAAATAATTAAACAGAATGGGAATAAAAGATATGAATTGTCATAGGTAGCAGTTATCTTTCATAAACATAATATACTGTTGTGAGCTATCTATCCCTCTTTCTTAGCTGACAGTCAAATACAGCCATATAAGACAGTCCTCTAAAACAAGCTTGTAAAAAGCCATTATAATGGAAGTTTGTAGATGGCAAGAAACATCTCGACGCACAGAAATATTTGTAAATTGGATGATAATTTGTTCTCCTTTCTATTCTGGACTTTCATGCATCAAACAGAAGTAAAGCTACTTTGGCCAAGGTTATTTAATAAATATGTTTATGTGGAAAAAGATGGAACATGCAAAATTATATACTAGATTCAGAATACAATACATTGCTTCCATATTTTATTTCTTCTGACAGGACAGCAATTTTCTGCTGGGAAACAACAGGATTAGCTCTCTTGCTTGCAACTGCAGAGACTTTTAAAGACACTAAGTTCACAAACCTCATTTTCTAATCACAAAATTGCTGATTAACTACTTTTAAACTATTAGAGAACTTTTTTCATGAATTGTTCATTAACTACTTCTAAGCTATTAGAGATCTTCAGAAGAACATGTTTAAAAGCACCAGGTGAATCTGCTTTCAATCCTGAATAAAGAAAATTTTAATCATAAATTTAAGAATTTAAAGAATTTGAAATAAACAGTAAAAAGCTAAATAATGTTTTGATTTTTAGAAAGCTATAAAAGGGTACAGAATACTTAAAAATTTACAATAAGATTTTGGAACTAACTATAAATAACAGTTTTTTATGGGAAATATTCTATTTTGCATTTTTCAAGATAAAACAAAGATAAGCAATTTCATGATTTCAAAAACTGGACACTAGAAGGGACTAAAGTGGGTACAGAAAAGCCTGTAAAATGTTGCAAAGAATTATAACAGTGAAAATACTAAAGTAGATTTTTGAAAGCATAGAATCAAAAAATAGTAGCCACAATATCAACAATGTTTGTAATGATGTCTGGATGAATATTATTCTTCCAAACAGGAAATCAAATGATAAATTTTCCATAAAAGATTTGTAGAATCCTGGTAGCCATTAACATGTACAATGGCAATTTGGTATATTCAGTGAAATTTACATATACATAAATGTTTGCAAGATTACAGTACTCAAAAGAATCCTGCACATTGTCCAAAATGCCTATGCAGAAAAGTTTAACTAGGGTCAAGCATAGTCATTCCACCACATCATGACTCTTGACCTTAGCAGTAGACACACTGCTGCTATGCATTATAGTCAGAACATTTATCTGCTCAAGTTATTAACCTTGCAACATTCAATGATTCTCTTATTCCACAAATGTCCAGATTACTAATTCTTCCTAGGCAAGTAAAATGGGTAAAATTGAAAGGGTTTTGGAAATAGCAGATGTGGTAATATTTCATATCCATCTCATCCTTGTGCTTCTTTTTTTCAACCTTTCATACAACTTAGGTAAGTTAAAACTTCATCCACCAGTGAGTCAGAATATTAAGCTTTAACAGGGGACTTTGTCTCAAATCACAGATATCAGAAGGGACAGTTAACCCTCAGGTAAATAGTTTGCTTGGCATGGGGAATGTTACTTTAGCCCCAAACAAACACAATTTTGTTTAAGATTTAAATCTACCCCCTCGGGGTTAATTGGATGGATTAATTAGTTCAGATTTGAAGTCTGTGTGACATTATGACAATGTCTTGCCAGAATAGTGCACCACAATTTACTATTAGAAATTTGCAGCCTTTTCTTTGTGGGGGAAAAAAGACTCTAAATTACAGCTGGGTTTGCTTTACAGGACACCCAGACAAGAAAACTCTTGGCAATTTAAACATAAAGCAATGATGCTAATATTTGGTATTGTTTCCTTTTTTCTTTCAATATGATGCATTATACCAGGGGTGTCTAACTCGTGTCATCATGGGACATATCAGGACTTTTTTCCCCTTTGCTAAACCAGGCAGTGGTGGGGCCACCACGTGACGCATCCAGCCCGCGAGTTTGACACCCCTACATTATACAATTAAACCTAAACAACACAAAACAATCACTTGGCTTTTCATTGAAAAAGGTGACAGGTAATGAAAAAATGGGATTAAGAGTGTGAGAAACGTTTTTGAAAGGTGGGGGGGACAACGGCTGAGCCAGTTTGCTTTAAAATATTTGCCACACTGCTCTTTGTAACTCTTTCAGCTGTCATCATACATCCTGGCTCAAGACTACAGTGCTCATTTCTTGCACAGATTTGCATGAAAATTACTGGGCTGCCATTTTCTTCCTACAGTCATATTAAATCACATAGAGGGGTCTTCAACTCATTAACTATATTATTTTACATCTGACTTTCCTGAAACTTTTCCGTAGTCCTAGGTGTACAGGTCCAATGGCTAAAGTAGCTAATTTTCACTGGGGAGGGTATAGAACCAAAGAAAGGCAATCAGATCTAAAACTTACTGCTTTCAACCACAATTGAAATAGCTATCAAGTTAACTAATGTACTCATAGCACACCAACAGGTAAGAACAACACTGAACTCATTAGTCCCTGAAATGATACCTTAAACAATACTGCATGTAGTTTAAAATCTAACTCAGGGTGCTCAGAATAAATGTCAGTTTTGGACATATCACATGGAGCACACATTTCAACCCAGAAGATTGGAAGGAAATGATTAAAGCTCAACAACCTGCATTACGATTCAGTTCAGAAATGTGTGTGATGGGGAGGTTGGGGGAAAGAAAGTAAAGGGTGGAGGAAGAACAGATTTCAGAGGCATTAAAACAGCAATTGCCTGTCTTTCCAATCTTTCTCTTAACTGGCTAAAGAACTATATAGCAAATCCAAAACCCTTTTTATATGCACACCTGGGAAGAATTCTGAATTCTGTTACTTTCCTCAACATTACCCTGATGTGGTTTTGACCAGATGTTTAAATGTTACAACATGTACTTTTCTTCTTTTCTTCCAAGGAAAAAGGAAAATAAGAGGAATATTTGACTTCACTCCACAAGAGACCTATTTAATAGTTTGGTGGTTATGTAAGTAAAGGTAGCTTGGCTAAGTCAGTGTTGACGACATATAGAACGACATGATCCTAATGAGTTGGAAAATATTGGCTCTCCTGAGATTTAACCAGATGCTACTGCACTGAGAAAGCTACTGTATTATTGAATTTCATTTTTGTGAGGTAAAATTTATTATTCAACCATTACAGTATTCCACATGAAGTCTTCCATAAAATAGTTTTGCAGTTACTTTCTGGAAAATAGGTTTTATTTTCACTTTAATACATCATTTACATGAGAGGTCAAAATGCTATTTGATCATTTTAAGCAGATAAATTAGAGGTCTGCAAGCAATTTTGTTTAAAACCCCCACACAGAGTAATAGAATTGGACTGTCAACAAAATTACAAATTATTTAAATGCAGCAGGAAAAATGCACTCTCAAGGTTCAGTTTCTACGGAAAATAAAACTGTATGCAATGGCATTAATATTTTCCTAGCATACGCAGCAGAATCCAAACTTCAAACTTACTACAAAGAATTACATTAGGAAAACTCAAAGAGGAGATAAACACAGCCTTCCATCGGTTTGGAAACAGATGGCGCCTAAATTGAATAAATTAAATTAAATGAACATTATTAATGTAATTCTTCAATTACAAACTGGGATAATATTGTCTCCTACTAACCTGTATTCTTGAACTGTATACTTTAGAAAAAAGGAAGGTGTGATAAACAGAGATCTTTAAACACATGCATTGAACAAGTATAAAAACAAGCTCCAGTTGCCTGTGATAATGTCTTGTTGGAAAACCAAAGGGTTTTTTTGCTGACCAATATGCAAACCAAGTTTTAAACTGATTAGTTAAGATTTATTTTCAAGAACTCAAATGTCAATTTAATAAATTATGCCACAAACACATTTATTAATGCCAGTCAAAATACAATGGCTTACCTGGAGGAGTCTTCAGTTAATTTGTTTAAATAATATGTTATTTATTTAGTTAAATGAGTGCATTCAGTTTTTTCCAAATATATTAAATACATTTTATTGTACAGTTTTTACATGTACAAACTTACTTAGATCACATCAGAATATTTTTTAAAAACTTTATCTCAACTTTAAACATAAGAATGAACGAATAAATGAATGAATGAATGAATGAATGAATGAATGAATGACACACCATACATAAAAATGTTGTCATTACCTGATATTTGGAAGACTTCATTCATTAAACTTTCATTCACTAATGATGAACTGGAATTTCCAGTATAAACCCAACTCTGCCAAATAGTTTGCATTAGAAAATTCTGAGCTCTCGTTGCCTGAATTGTCAAAGTTGGAAGTTCAAATATAAATTCGTTCACTGCAGTATTAGATCGCTTAGACCTAGGAAATAAAAAAGGATGGAAGAAATTAGAATTCCCTAGTATTATCATTGGAACATATACACATACATACATACATACATACATACATACATACATTCATACATTCATACATAATGTACATACATACATACATACATATATATATATATATATATATATATATCAATTTTCTTATATATATACATACATACATAGACAGACAGACAGACAGACAGACAGACAATCTCCATATAGTCCTGCAATGCATGACAAATTAAATTTCTAAATTACAAGACAATTTAGGGGTTAGAATAGTGATGAAGAACATTTGACACACATTAAAGGTGAAATGCCATGATGTTTTGGGTCACACGCCAGCATTCACCAACACCCAGCAACTATTCTCCAAAGCACGTCCCAGTCACATGTGATTTTTGGAGGCTATAGAAACCACGCAAGAATGGGGTGTACTATCATGTGGCCCCCAAACCCTCCGGAAGTTGTGTAACCTTCAGAACCTATGAAAATTGCATGAGAACCCCGTGTACTTTTGTACAGTTTTTGAAGGTTGCAGAATTATTTGAAGCAATCCATTGTTTTCATAGACTATGCCATAACATTATTGGGGCAGAGAGGACAAAATTCTGTCCTTATTTTAAAAAGACACTTACTCCCTTAGCTTGATACAGGTTAGCAAAATGTTTTGAAAAATCTGCTAAACTAAGTTTAAGCGCTATTTTTAAATGAGAATAGAGTTCAGTCCTTAAGCAAAGGCCATGCAAATCTACAGCCTATGAAACACAAGTATGTATAACACTAGAAATAACCCATTCCTTTTAAAATCAACACCCCTTCGTGATTTAAAGAACATAGCAGTGAACAGCTGGCTGCACAGCTTTATATAATGTTCCAAAATGTAAGACTGGAATCTGCCAAGAATTTCCTAAAATTATTTTTTATTACTCATATCCTGCACAGTAAAATAAGTTCATTTTCCCAAACATAAGACTAGTGGACCTGCTACTAGAAACTTGTGATTAAAAAATAGTTGGGGGGGATCAGGCAAGAGGGCTGTTAAAGAATGTAAAGAAAAGGCTAGATATAATCGAATTGGCTATTATGCACTTCAACATGTTCAGTTAATCTTAAAAAGAGAGAAAGGCTTGTCATATATTCATATAGTCAGTTATTGCAACTACTTAATTTCAGCAAATGATTAAAAGAGACGAGAACCAAATAATGCAAATGAATATGGTCACTTCCCAAAAGTTTTGGAACTTTTGCATGCACACAAATGTTAACTCTATATTTTATGTTGTTACATGGAAATACAGTACTTCTTCAACCTCAGTGACAAATATAAATTATGAACTGTAAAATACAAAACATCTATAGCAAAAAACAATAATCCAAATAAAAAATAAATATTTTAGAAATAAAACTAATGAACAAGCTTGCTGACTGATAAGGGGGTGAGTGGGAGATCACCCAAATCAGAGTCTTTTCCCAACAAGCCAGATTTAAAACATGCCTCACAGTCACTACCATCTCACAGACCACAGGTGAGTAGCATATCTATTTTTTGTCATCTGAAGGTTTAAAAAGGCTAATGCTTAATGGATATCTCTGATGCAAAACCAGAAACTTGGTGTCATTTGCATACAATTGCATTGAACTCACAGCCACCAGGCAAAATCAAGATGCTGGAGTTTATTGACTTTCCACAAATTCATGATTAAAACAATAAAGTAAAACAAGAACACTTCAAGTGCCCTTCCTAAATATTACAATTTAAAGTTAACACTAAGTATTAAAATGTTAGTTATGATGCTTTAATTAGAAAAGAATTAAACCCAAGAAATACGTAAACAAGTTACATATTTTGTTAAAATGGTTTCAAATGGCAATAACTTTAGAATTTTACAACACAATTTAATGCAGATTTCCATGTACTACCCAGAATCCTCTGCTCTAGTCATGTAGCATCACAACCAACCAACCAAAAGTAACATTCCTATTAATAACTTTTTTGGCTAATCATTCCAAATATGTTGCTTGATAGTGACAAATATTTTTAAATGTGTTATTTCATCCAGGCAATGAAATATTCTAGTCAAATTTTTCAAATACAATTTAGAAGTACAAATATTACAGTAATAATATATACTGATACATAATGTTTGAAAATATTTTTAAATAAAAACAAAGAAAGCTACGTAGGTTGCAGGTTTATTCAAGAAATAAAATTGAGATTTTCAATTATTATTCAAAACATACCACAAGGAGAATTCTATAATAGTTCATAAAATATCTTTATTTTTAAAAAATGATGGTCTGTTGGATATGTAGAACATGTGTATCATCCAATGTGTATACTTTAAGCAACACTGATATGTAAAATCTCAAAACCCAGATAAAGCAGGTGGTGTAATTTAAAAAAACAAACGTACGTGCAAGTTTAATCACATTACCAGGTTATTCTTCAGGACTAGTTCCCATTCACTAAATGACTTTAATGAAGCTCTCAGTCTGCAGGCTGATTTGGATAAATCAGTTCAAATACCATTTGATGTATTTCATCTGGAGTTCTATTCATTGCAGACTACATTTAGCAATCTGGTTGTAATATTCATTTATTCTTACTCCATTACCACAGCTAGTCCTCAACAACCTTGTAAGTCATGGCCATAAGTTAATTCACCCATGTGACTGGAAGTAATTTTCCAGCCTTTTTTGCAGAGGTCATTAAGCAAGTGCGGATGCTGCATTCATTAAATGAATGCTGCAATTGTTAAGGAAACCCATTCATTTAAATGGATGTCTTTTGCCACTAACTGGCAAAAAAAAAAGCCAGAAACAGACAAAATACATAATGAATCATGGTCACATGAGCATGAAATACCACAACAGGTTGTAAAAGACGAGCCATCTAACATACAGTCATGTGACAAGGATTGGAAAGTGGTGCAAAACATTTACGAAGGCCAGGGGAGCTATAGGGGCCATAAAACACCTGTTTCGTAGCCATCAAAAAATGACAGGTTGTTAAGCAAGGACTACTTGTATACTTGTATCTAATTGTTTGCCTTAGTTTAAATTAAAGTTGTTATTAAAATGAAAGAAAAATGTTGAAAATTTAATCTAGCCGAATAATAGCTGGAGGCTGAAAAATACAGATTGATGTAAGGAACTTATTTAATAAATTTCCATGCTCAAAAAATTATGGATCCTGATTGACAGATTGCATTTATACATATATACACATTCTGAAACGCTTACCAGTATTTAGGTAGCTTAAGCATTTTGCCATATACAGCTGTGCTGAAGGAAGGAATTACTGAAGTTGGTAAACTATAAGATCCATTAATATCCAATGATGTCAATCCCGCCTGAAAACCAAATATCTTTAAAAAGAAATAACATAGTCAATAACAAAATATAAATATTTGGAGCTTTTTCATCAACATATTTTTTCATTTCAATGCCATGAGATTCTTACTTTTCTGCATATTTTAGAAAGTCTAAGCCAGAGGTCTTCAAACTTGGCAGCTTTAAGATTTGTGGACTTCAACTCCCAGAATTATCCAGCCAGTATAGTATAGCTGGCTGGAGAATTCTGGGAGTTGAAGTCCACAAGTCTTAAAGCTGCCAAGTTTGAAGACCTCTGGTCTAAGCAGAGAAATCACGCAAGGAGCTAAATGAACAATGCTAAGACAGCATGATTTACTATACCTTGGAACCAATGGCCCATAATATGATAAACAATTATATGTTCCTGTTGCATTATTAAGAAGATACCAGTGGGATGTCCTACATTATTTACTGAACAGAAAAAAAGAATAAAACATACCTTAAGATAACAGTGCATATAGCAATAGTGAAGTAAATTATCAGATGGTTGATTAAGGCTGCTAACATATTGCACAAGTTGATCAGCATTCATTGGCACTGAATGTTCCAAGATCATTTTATCTACCAATATTCGGATGCAAGGCAGAGGCCGTAGCAACTGAAGATTCGTTGTAGTTAAGAAGCTGCTTGAACTCTTCAGGATATAGGACACAAAATACACGGATAAAGTTATATTTAAAACTTGGAAGTTTTAAACCACATAATTCCAAATATAGTTTATATATAACTCAAGATCACCTACTTTATTATAAATTTAGCATATGTACAAATACACACAAACTATGTTAAGACTACATAAAAAATAATATCTACCCCAAAGCACGGACGTTAATTATAAATAGTTCATAAATTTATAGCACCTTTTGACCCATGATGACAGGCAATAAATGGGCAAGCAAGTTGAATTCAGCCATAGGAATAGTGACAGTGCATTTCAAAATGGTAAAGGTTGTGATCCGAGTTGGAATATATTCCTCTAAGGCAGCAGCTTCTTCTGTGCTTGGCAAAACTTTGGCTCCTTCTATAAAATCTATAATAATAAGAGTTGGTTAAATTTAATATAATTACCAAAATAAATGTCTATAGTACCTCCAATATTTTATTTTATCAATTTGTCTTAATTTAGACATAACAAGTCAGATCATGATTTAGGCTTGCCTTGGACTCATGAATCCTTGTAGAATAGCAGATGGAAGCTGTAGCCAGGAGGGCCTTTGTCCAACTTTGGCTGGTGCTCCAGTTAACCAGGTTAACAACAGGCAACAAGTACACAATCTAATAATCATGTAATTAGACTGCTAGATCAGACACTATGTGGGGCTACTTTTACAATTAGTACAGAACACAGCAAGTAGAATGCAGATAAGGTTACCCAGCTAGTACAGAATGAATAACCCGATTTGAATCTTGGCACTCGTTATCAGTATACTTCCTGGCCCAACTTAAAGTGCTGTTCCTCAACTTTAAAGCTGTTAATGGCATAGTACTAGGGTATAGCAGGGAAGACATTGCCAAAATAGAATCTGTCTGTTGGACATCTGGGGAAAGTATTTGAGGGTAACCACCACCACCACCAGATCCAGGAAAGCAGTTAAAATGGCACCATTTCAGCAAGCTAACAGGCTGTAACTCTCAGTCATAAGAAACTAAGAGCCAGGATAGAGTTCAAAAGTACTGGGAGTTGTGCAGCCTGTACAAGACTCTGATCTACTAACAGTCAAGGCAAATTGGTGACAGATAGAGTCAATGGATTTTGGGGGGGCGGGCGCTAGGCTTATGTCTTTTTGGGGAGCATAGGGCTCCATTCAAAATACTAATGATGCATTTGACCCTGCACTCAAGCTCAGACTGGTCATCACAATAACTGTGTTTAGACCATCATATTTATTATTTTAATTGCTTTTTATTGTATCATATGCTGAACTACTATATTGCTAAATAAACCAATAAATGCATGCCATTAACATAAAAATGTGTCAATATATTTGCTTGAAATACTTCTTATAGCTTAAATGTACCCTCATTATGATTTTAGCAGTATTGCAAGTATATTCTTCCCTTGTTTTTCTTCTCTCCTTACTAAATCTATTCTTTTATTCTTTGTAAAGTGACATGCTTTTATTTAAATAATAATTTTGAAGATATGCCTGACTGGACATGTTTCCTCTTATGCAGGATCTTTTTAAAAATTACCATTTGAAGTATAATTTAAAATAATATATAGTGTATTACAATATATCATAATATTTCTCATTTTCAATTCTCAAAAGATTCGGTAAATCAATTCCTTAAGCAGATAATAAAATGGACTAACTGTGGGACAACAATAGACAACACTCAGCTGAAATCTCACAGAAGTTTCTCTCTCACATGCATGTTTATCCTTGAAGTTTTTCAATGAAAACTCAGCTACCTTGTTTTTAAAAAATCAAAATTCACAAAACATACCTAATTTAGACTTGCTATAAGGTTCATATTCATGTTCCAGAGAACAAACAATCATTTTTATAATTCTGTGCACTGCACTGCTATCAAGTCGAAGACTGAGAGGTCCTATAATTAGACTTTTTGTAGACATCTCCTGAACACCACTGAAGTCTTCAATCTTCACAGAAGTTACATCTGGCTGATTTCCAGACCCTAAAATATATGTTAGTCAGTTTTGGGGTGTTAATATATAATAAGAAAATGTTACGAAAGGTATTTTATTATACAGCAAATATCACAGGTTAGTATTTGCACCAATGGATGGACACATGACACGTAACATACCAAAGGACTTCTTTTCTCTTTAAAGATCCAGTTATGGAAAGATAAGGAAGCTGCTGTCCTGAGTCTTGAAGTTTGAAAATAGTCAATGTATATAAACAATAATAGCACAATGAGGTAATTAAACATTTCCCTATCATTTTACAAAATACTGTTTCAAACTTTGCCAGAAAACAAGAGAAGAACAGCATATAAATCAAATTTACAGGGCATTTAAGCTCGCTTCTCCCACTGTTAGCCCAAGGAAACTGGCCAGTTCAAAATTAAATTCAGCTAAAGAAATAGTATTTTAGACAGATTTAATTAAGTATGTTTATCTCAAAGAATAATTTTTACTGCATCTATAATTCACAAGGAAGCCCAATTTCCTTATACCAATATAACTTTAGTAACAGTTATGAGGAAGGGGTGGACAAATGGTAATATAAAGGAGATATCTGATTCTAGGAAGTAATTCATTTCCATCCTCCCCTTAAAAAAAAAAGGCTCAAAGCATACAGCCAAAATCCACAAGAAATACATGTACTGCCTGCACAAGTGAAACTACATTTTTCACAGATCCAATTCAACTGTATTTCCTTTAATTCACGTCCACTAGTTATGATTTCTGTTCTTTTCTCTGAAAATACTAGGAGTGACCCAAATTAAATCTAAAGTGTGAAAAGGAATTATGTTGCTGAGAAGAGATGTAAAAAACTATTACAGTTTAATGTATACATAAATATAGTATCTAAAACTGGTTTATTTCAACCAATCAGAGATCTTCACGTTCAGATAATGAACTAAATGAAAGACAAATTATAATGAAGCAAAAGCTTCTAAGTTTCTTAAAGTCACACCAGAGAAGGATCAGAGAGAGGAACATTTATATCTAACACAGCCTCTAACCAAAAGGCAATGAGGCATGAAGCCACAACTAGCATTAAAACTCACCATCGTAGCAGAAAATATTACTGTTGTATTCCACACTGTAAATCCGAACAATGCAAACAATATCTAATTGAAATGCAAAGGATGTTTAACTGAACTTTCGAACAAATGAAATAGCCAACACCAAGTCATGATTCTTTTAATATCTTTGGAATCTTCATTTTAGAAAAATTATTAAACTTAATCCTTCTCCACCTAGGGGATTACTCCCAGGGTGCAAGGAAAGGAGTCTGTAACCCTAATGACCCTGACAGTAATGATGATGGATGTATGAGCTTCTGAAAATGTCATCCTGGTTGATAAGATGAAAAAGGAATGTGGGGAGGGCGTCAGACCTTCAGGTTAGTGCAGGCCAAGAACCAGACAAGCAGGAATTCCTTTATTACTTATCCTTACTCTCTTTATTGTTATAAGGCAAAATAGCTAAATTTGGAAGCTGGTCTGGGTTTCTGTCAATCCCATCATAGATCAAATAAAATCAAGATGGAGTTATTTTGAGTTTGCAGGGTCCTTGGAGCTCTCTGAGCTTGGCTGTTTGCTTGCAGACCTTCCATTATCCAACTATGTAACATCATCAGTACACGTGAGTGTGGGGTTTGCTCCCTGTTTATATAAAGTAGCTTGCCCTGCCAGTGTTGGTGAGTTGTTTTTTCTCTTAAGATTAATTTTTTTGTGAAAATGCCCCCTTAACAGCCACCTGATCCTCCTCTGTTTCCAAGGCCAGGTCCACATTTCTTACAGTGGGGAAGGTGAAAGTGGTGAGAGCAGATGGGGGTAAGTTTAAAGGTAGCTATCACCGCTAGGAGAAGGAATCAACCTTCAAAGAAAACTAATGGTAAGTCAGTTGTTCCAAAAAAAAACCCAAAACAACAAGAAAAAACTGCAGACATGCAACCTTTTATTTACTAATGAAACAAATATTTATTTATAAGAAGATCAGAAGAATGTGACATCACCAGACAAAAGCTACAAAGACTAAAGCCACAATTTATAAAAGGATGTCATAAAGTTAAGAACTATTATTTATATGCCATTGATATATTACTGTTATCATTTAGTTTATCACAATGAATCAAATATTTAGATAACCCTTGTAACTATTAATATTAAAATTGTTGCTCTGTGGAGAATAGACAGAAAGTTATTTATTAATGTGCTGATTATACAGTCAGGGAGATGTTTAAACTGAATTTCACATTTTTATTTACTTATTGAATTCTTCTGAAAGACTTTGGATAGGTAGATGTTGTTTGATTGTATTTAAAGTATTGTTGTAGGATGTAAGCTGTTCCTAGTAAAGCTGCCTTTTATAACTGATTGATGGTGAATTCATCAATGCCAATGGGAAATAAGGAGTGGGCTTATTTATTCAACACAATCTTATGTAAGTAACCTGGGAGTAAGTACCATTGAACAAATTTGTTCTGTTCCTCCAATGAGCTCAAAACTACAAGAAAAGTAGATTTGATTAAACTGGAAAGTACATCAGAAAGCACTTCCTAATGCACAGAGTTTCCTGAAACAAACTGCCTCAGTGTTTGATGGATTCTTCTTTTTAGCTTTTACCCATACTGAATTACATCTTTTAAGTAAGTTATAATAATTGGTTTTTCACTTCCCCTTTGCCTCTGGAAGCTGTTTTTGTAACTCAGCATTCCTCAAAGTGGAGATCTGAACCCAGGTTCCCTCAGTCTAAATTAAAAAATTATAAGGTATCACTATGCATATTATTTTATTCTGAAATCTCTGAACAAAAAACAAGAGGTGGATGATGGACAAACAGGTATTAAAGAAATCAGGCCAGATTTAAGTTAGGCTTTAAAAAGGTAAGCCTAAGGACAGTCGGTCAAGGACTGTCAGGTGCCTCTGAATAAGCTTTTGTTTCTGTTATTCAAAGAGAAAGCAAACAAAGAAATTAAGTACCTTTGCCACTGGTGCTCTCCATTGTGTACAGATAATCCATGTAGAAAGCCCCAAACCTCTGCATTCCTGTTATCTCTGTGTACATCTCCTACCAACAAAGCAAAGTACATACAACTAATGTTCTCTTAAGAAAGAATCTTGAGATTATAACCCAACAGTATCAGAGCCATATAGAAGTACTAAAGATATATGCTTGTTTGGGTTTGTGCATGAATACATGGTAAAGCTTATCAATACAAAGGACAGAGGTTAGTCAAAGAATTCATCCTTCAAACAGCTAATGCAACTTCCATACCAGGCTACACAAAAGGGCATCTATAAGCCTTCTGGATCTTTTGTTCAGTTTTACCAACAGAAGCTAGTTAATTAGTATCTTAAATTGAGTGAATTATCTCAATCTGACCTCTCATTTCCTAGTAAACCAGGTGACTAAAAATCTAACATTTGCAATTTACAAAACGTTTAGGAAATGGAGTCTGAATCAATTAGGTTTATTTGAACTCAGCAAGAATTGTTTGTTCATTGTCTATAGGAAGCAATGAACCTTAAATAACAGTCTAATCATGTCATTAGACTTGAAGGTGATATTAGCTGAGGAGTAGCTATATACTACTAATAAAGGAATACTTCAAGCTTTAACAAAGTAAGTTTATCAGTCAGATCAGACTGAGAATCAATAGAAAGTTCACCATATAAACTGAGACTTCTCACAAAGAAAGGAAGGAAAGAGCATTCCAAGAATCATACATCTACTGTTACTTTTTAAGATGTTTATAAATGGTTTGAGTAGTAAATAATAAGTAATCAATAAAAACAAAATGGATTGAGAAAAGCTCCAAAAAATTATACACCGTATGAAGGAGAAAAAAATGGAAAAGGCAATTCAATGTAAGTTTCTATTTTCACGATATTGAAAATAATTGAGACGTAGGGAATGAATAATGAAATTACATGTATAATACAGTGGTACCTTGCTACTCGACTGCTTCAAAATTCATAGAATTTGATACTCAATGCTTTTTCATGCAAAAATCTTGTTCCCATACTCATACCTTTTCCTAGTACTTGATGTGCAAGGTAGAACTTGCTGGCATCAGCTGCCTTGTGACTCACTACTCCTAAAGGGCCACATGGTACTTATTCGTTGTTTTTAGTACTCACTGCACCTCACGGAAAGAATCCCAGACAAATATCGAGGTACCACTCTATTGCAATTAACCTCTGAAGATGCTGCCTCAAAAATGTTATCAAGTTTCTTCCACCTCTCTATCCCAATTTTAATTGTCAGGCATTGCACTGTTCTCTAATTGGGCAACCTCAAAAGTTCTTTTGAAAAAAACGAAATCCTGGACACTTGAATTCAGACTATATTGCTTTAAAGAATCTGAATGTGAACATTGTTAGGAAATTAGCCTATTGCTTCTGAATATTCCGATGACAAATAACTTTTGCCCTTTAAAAACTGTAATTAAGTACCAAAAGTTAACAAGTTTAATGGATATACTAACTTTCATTTCTCACATTTACACTTTGACAATCTTTGATATCGCTTAAGGGAGCATACTACATTTATCTTATTTTAATAAGCACAAAATCTTTTTAAGGTTATGCTGCAAGATAGTAGCCTACCCACAACTAATCAATAATTTCATTACATAAAGTGGTTTAAACTGAATCTCTTTCTAATACCTACTGAAAATTATTTCCAATTAAAAAGGGCTATTTTTTTTTTTTACACCACTAGAAGTAACACACTTGGTCACCTCATATTGATTTTAGCCACTGAATGGTAAAGAAAAATATGTATTCCAAGAGTTTCTGGATATAACACTCATATACCTTTCTCAGCACAAAAATTAAGGCCAGCAAGTAATAAAATATTTTAAGAAATTGCGTAACACAAATTTTATAACTATATCTACTAAACATAAAGTGTATAAAGACAAAAAATCTGACTATTAAGCAAACTCAAATTAGGGATGAAAAAGACCTTATGAGCAGCTGCATCCAAAATGAATTCTGCACGGACACCATTGTTTTCAGGACTTCTATAATCAAATAGTGAATTGGTAAGATATGTCATTCCTTTTGTACTGAGATTTTCTCCACAGTGGAAAAAGCATGCTTCCTGGTATAAAAGGGGAATAAAATAAAATATGTAAGAATATAAAGAAATCACAGCGCAGAACTTAAATAAACATATTTTTCACAGATGCAGATTGGTTCCAATACTGTACATAATAACTGGTGGAGTTTGCTCACCCTCACCCTAATTCAATACACACAATATCTTTACAGGTAGTCTTTAACTTACGACCGTTTGTTTAATGACCATTCAAAGTTGCAATGAACTTTTAAAAAGCTACTTATGATCTATTCTCAAAATTCTGACTGCTACTCCCCCTGTGGTCACATGATCACATTTCAGGACTTGGCAACTGGTTCACATTTACATTTGGCTGTAGTATTCTGCAAACATGTGTAGCAATTTGCTACATTTTTTGCCAGTTTCCTGCAAAAAAAAAAAACCATTAAAGAGAATGGATTTGTTTAATAACTATGTGATTCATTTAACAACTGTGTGATTCAGTGATTTGCTTTACAACCATCATAAAAATGATCATAATCAAGTCTGGTCATGTGCTATCTTGACATATGACAGCAACAACTCATGGCCAAAATTCTGGGCTCCATTGTGGTCATAAGTGGAGGAGTACCTGTATTTTCTTTTAAATTTCATAAAATATCTCACAGTTACTAGGATCACCACAAAATACTGTGCAGCAAATAAGATTTGTATGTGAACTCATTATTAGCAAATTAAACTAACTCTGCCCTACATTTTGTATAAATATATAATTGCTTTATTATATATCCTACTTCATCTATGTCAGGCATAAACAACCAGACCCACACCTCAAGAGTTCAACTAGCTGGTTTTTTGTTCAAGTCTATACATAGGAACCTTCTCAGACTGATGGTGCAGCAGGGTGAGACTAGATAAACTTCGATGGCATTCAGGGAAGGTCAGTCTTTAACTTCTTGCGCCCATATAGGGACACCAGACTAATTCCCCGTTTGACTCCTCCCTCTGGTCAGCCAGTCCACCTCCTACACCAGATCGCACACAGCTAGAGCTTTTACTACAGGAAATTGAAATTCAGGGGGAAAATACTTTAATAGCATTTATTAATTATATAATTTCAGTAGTTTGATCAAAGTTATCAATCATTAGGGTATGTGTGTATACACAGACTATATCTATCTAATATCTATATCTATATCTATATTTATACCTATATCTATCAATCTATATTATCCCCCTTTCTCTTTATATACACATACACACACCTACACACACCAGAATATTTGAGAGTTTGAACAAATGAACATTGATATTGATAAATACAGTGATTTTCCAACATGTTATCAACTCTTTAGTTGAAACTGTCCTGCCCATTTCTTTTTTTACTGTGGGATCTAAAAAAGTACTTCAGATGTGTTCATGAGCCGAACATATATACAATATTGGGACTTTTGTTCTCACTGATACTTAAATCACTGAGGCACTAATTAAAAACAGTTTCAAAATTACTTTCTATTACTTAAAAAGCGCTACTTAAATCCTGTTCTGACTTTCAGAATAAGACGTGGCACTCTGGATCTAAGTCAGGATCTTTTACAAATTTCTAAAACTGTTTCCAGGCTTTCTAACATATTAGCATGTGTGTGATCCAATAAAATATAAATTATACTCACTGATTCACTTCTATTCTTGTTCTCTTCAAAATCTTTAACTCCCATAATTCCTTTAAGGCAAAAAGCTTGGCAACCAACAAATCCTATCTGGCAATTAAAGAAAGGTTCTCCTCTCATAAGGGCCTGGGAAGAAAATTTAATGTGGTATAAAAACAGTGGGCAATGGTTAATATTCAAACTACAGTGGGATCCTGCACCTAGTTATATATACATAAATAAAACAAGAAAATAAAGACACCCAAAGAGTTCAACTTCTGGTGAAAATTAGGCAAAATTATTCAGTTTTCTTGAAAATAGAATATATATGATTTGCCATTGCATTTTTCTGGAATGTTTTTGACTTCCAGTTAATTTACAATCCTGGACACTACAGTGAAATTAATAGCTCTATGGATTATCTTGTATGTAGGCTCACTATACTTAATTTTAAAAAATAAATCAAATAAAAGAGTACTTGTAATGGGAAGACATGAAAATACACACATTTCTGGAGTATAGCTATAATCTAAAAATGGATCTCTTTCAATAATTACAATTGTCCAATAAGAGAGGAATATAAAAACAATACTGTAACTGCCAGCTGAAAATAATAATACTGATGAAAAACTACTGATGCCAAGATTTCTACTATAAATTAACACTGTACAAAAATAGTGGAAAAATTACCTCAATTGTAGTTCCTTCTTGTTGCCAGCAAATTATTTCTTTGGATTTTACTTTCTGTGGACTGTAATAACTACTTTCAGCTTGCATTTCAGTAAGCTATGTAACAATAGGAGGAGATTTACCATTAGTCAACATTAGAATTAAATACATGCAAGATCTCATTATTCTATAAGAAAAAATGATGACATATTTTAGTTTTGGTTAATATGATAATGCAGGAAACAGGCACACTAAAATAGCTATGACGCATTGTCCACACAGAAAATAACTTGGACATAAATATACTATTTTAGCCACATACTGCTACAATTGGAAAAAAAATGAAATACTTTTCCTTTCTCCAATCATAAAAGATGAAGAGAAAAGATAAATTACCCTCTGTGCAGGTGTAACATAATTTATGAATAAAACCAAATGTTATGAAGCACACTGCAATAACACAGGAAGTAATTTAAAAGATGGAAGTATTCCGTTGACCCTTATGAACTTTAAATCATAAGAAAATACTTCAACTTTACACACAGACACAAACACACACATACACTGGTTAAAAAGGTTAGCATTATTCACTAAAATAGGTAGATTAATATTTTGCTTGTTCCCAGCACCCTGTTCATCTTTAACTGCCAAAATAATTTCTAACTTTCTCATAAAACAAAATTTCTAGAAGTTCTCATTACTTTGTCATTTCCGACTGAGTATACACATGGTTGACATTTTGAAGCACAATTGCATAAGGCAAACATTCAAGTAAAACAGGAAAAAATCTTCAGCTGTATGCAATTATTGTAGAGGAAAAGCAATTAATTGATTAAAAGAACTCAAACATTGCAAGAACAATTTCTGACATTATTAGGAAAATGCTACATTTAATTTGGTATGATTTTTTTAAGCTGGAGTAGTATCAGCTACTCAGAATGCTAATGCAGAAACCTGACCTCATTTTTGACCAAAATATGAACCACAAATTAATTCCATACATTTTTAGCATCCAAGCAGAACAATAGATTCTAATGTTTGCCTTCTAAATGCCAGCATAATACCTTTAAGTATTCCAATTTATAATGTAGAAATGTAATATTAACAATTTTGGAATATGGTTAAATTATTTTAATGCAGGGAAATGTACAAGAATAGCTAAAATGGTCAATCTGCAGGAGTTGTAGTCTTTGACTTATTATGATTCATTCAGTAACTGTTTGACGTCAAAGCAGCACTGAATAAAAGACTTGCGCCCAGTTCCCAAAGATACGCCACTGTAGCACCACATTGGTTATGTGAATTCAGCTGCTTTGTAATCTACCCATATTTACAACTGCTGGAGCATTTCCCACACACACATTTCCCCCCTATCTCTGCCCTTCTGAGTGCCCTGCACTCTACCACATACTATATCCCTGATATCCCCTTGCTGCTGCTCCCTCCAGTTGACCTTCACCATCTTCTTCTTCCTGATGTTGGCCCAGGATCCAGGCAGTTGAAGAGGGTGCAGCCCTGAGGTGCACACAGTGAACACAGCGGGATGATGGAGCCTGACCTGATGAAGGGAGCTCGCCAGGCCCAGCTGGGGAGTAGCTAGCTGGACAGTGAGGCGCAATGCTGTGTGAAGTAGGAGAGTGGCAGTTCATGAGATAAAGGTGGAAGTTGTTGGGCTCTGATAATGTTAGGCACTGATGATGTTACCTAATTGGGAAGTGAAATGCTTGCAAGTAAACAACTAAGCTCATAGATCACTAAGAAAACTCTGTGATTTTTATTTCGTAACAGAGAAAATAATTGATAACATAGATGTTATAGGTCAAATGTAGTAATAACAATTTTGCTCCAAGAAAGCCTAGGTTCAGATCTTCATTTAGCACTGAGATTTAATAGATAATTTGGGGCTATTAGACTAATTCTGTCAGAGGATTACTGACAGAGAAAACAAAGTATCATGTGTAATGCCATAAATGTTCAGGAAGCAATAAATAAATAAATAAATAAATAAATAAATAAATAAATAAATAAATAAATAAATAAATAAATCTGCAGAGAATTAAAGCTCCCTCCCCCCTTTTCAGGGTGATTACATTCCTTTCTTCATTTATTATTTTTCAGTTGTTTGATCCTTCTTTTGAGTCTTTGTCATAGGTTTGTGCAACAAACCTTATCAAATTTTATAGGGTGGACACTTGTTGCACACCTCCCTATCCTGTTGCATCCTCCTCGGTCAGCCTGGCAAACTCCTTTTGTCAGGTGAGGCTCTGCAGCCCCCTCATACTCACTGCACGGTGCACACATCCCAGGGCTGCATCCTCACCCAGCACATGTATACTGGGCCAGCAGCAGAAGGAAAAAGATGGCGAAAGTCATTTATGGGTAGAAGAGGACAGCAGGGTAGTCAGCAGAATGCAGCACACTAAAAGGGCAGAGATGGGAGGAGATAGGCAGGTTGGGAGAGATGAAGAGGGCAGTGGCTTCCCCGCCTGACAACAGTTTGATGCACTATCCTGGCCTAACAACTACAACAACCAAATATATAAAATACATTTTATATACATTTTCTCAGAGTATTAGAATTTGAGTGATCTTGTTTGTACCTACTGCACTTGATTCATCACTCAATTAAATACAGCTAAAATATACTAGTATTAAAAATAAAATACTTGCTTTGAAAGTGATTGTTGCCTTTGTGCAATAAAATCCTATGGAAACAATGGGATCCTTAATGATTGGACTTTTCTGTTGGTTCATCATTCCGTCATCCATTCCAATATCATCTGTGTCTTCATTATCAGTGCTCACAATAGCTGGTACAAACGACCAGGCCCACGATACCCATCCTTGCTGTTGATCATCATCTTGTGGAATGTAAAATTCTGGAGAAATGTCTTTGCCTATTTCGTCTTCTGCACCTTAAAACATAAAGAAACAGAGCTAGTTAACAATGCAATTTTAGCCACTAAAAATTGAAGCCAATTTGTATTTACCTCTGTAGAAGAAAAGACATTTTTTCTGCCTGAATATATTAAATGTCTTGTCATAATTAACATGAAGAGAAGATTTAATTTTCTTGTTTGCTGGACTGAACATATTTATAAAATATCCATTTCCAAATGCATTGTACAATTAAGGATAGTAGTTTATGTATTTGATATAATTAAAATATATATTTATATATTTTAAAAATGGCCTTTGTTGCTCATATAGAACATTTTTGTTATATATGAGCAACATCAATTTAAATTTAAAAATCTATCTATAAAGGCTGTTTAAAGATAAGAATTTGGATTGGCACAAAGATTAAGCACAAAGATTGGCAACAAAGATTAGATAGAGACAATCTACTTATTTCAACCCGGAATAGTGAATTTGCAGATAGTAATACTAATATTGCTATCGTAAACTGGCAATTTGGGCCCTGATTAGTTTGAAAAAAAAATGCCCCCCCAAACCTCTCACTTTTTTTCAATCTTACTTCCTAACTTCAAGGAAATATGAAACACTCGTGCTGTTGAACAGCTGAAAACATTATCCTAAAGTAGAACTATTTTAAACTTCATTGCAATGGAATTGAAACAAATGCTATGAATGTTAGCATTTATTTGAGGAAAAATGATGAAAAGGAATGCCTAAATATTGCCAGAATGTTCAAAAACAGTAGGGCTGCATGTAAGGATAGTATAATTGGAGAAATGTTATAATCTGAATTGAGCTTATTTACGAAATGGTCATCAGACTTGTTTAACATGGCATAAAGATTGGCTCTGGGCTAGATAATTAGAAGAATAGCAATAATATTTTCCTATACAAAGGAAGAGTAGAAAGAGTAAGTGCAAAATTAGTTTGGAATTAATTTGTTAAATATATCTAGGAAGATATTTGACAGAATTGAAGTGACAATGGGCTAAATATGAAAAGCACACTTCAACTTTTTGCTTCAGGGGAGATATGCAAACTAGATTTTTGCTCTTTAGCAAATCACTGAGAAATGAATGAAAGTGAGAATGATGGTATATTACTTAATTCAGAGAAATCCTACCACAAACCAAATACTTGAATTACAGAATGTCTGGGTGAATATGAAGCTAGTTGTTAAATGCGATGAGAGCTTGGAGCTTTTAGCACATTTTTATGGGCTATTATGAGCCACCTAGAGTCATTATATGAGACAGGCAGCCATATCAGTCCTGTGAGTGAGTGAGTGAATGAGTGAGTGAGTGAATCAATCAATCAATGTGATAAAAATAAAACACCTATGAAAATAAATGAGTCACCTCATTTATTTAGTATGCACCTTGGTTGTTTAATGTATTTACAGCTAAACCTCTCTTGTAAGGAATGAGTTCTTTTCCATAAAATGTCATAATCTGTGTGTTCTTCTACTGACTGACTGACTTCTATCTATTTATCTATCTTTGTATACTGCCATATTCTCAAGACTCCCAGTTTACCACATAGGAAATGACAATACAGAATCATAAAATATTAAAACATCCAATGTCTTTGGCTCTCAACACAAGTACAATATGCTGAGGGTGATGAATACTTGATAATACACAAGCATTCCCCGTCACTGCATGCTGCACCAACTGCAATTTCTGGATGTCTTCAAAAGCAGTATTACATGAGGAAACATAAAAGTCATAGAGTACTGAGTATATCTGGTAAAGAGGAGAAAGGTCTAGAACAAATATACGTGAATACGAACTGAATACAAAAATGAATGATCAGTAAGGAAAAGTAAACAATTTCTATAGAGAGAATGATTTGTTTTAAAGGAAGGGTAAATGGATTTTATATTTGATCAAGCCCATTTTATAACCTCATGTTTAACTGTGCTAACTACTCTCTATATTATTAGAATCAGGCAACAATATGTAACTACAATCCTTCAAAGTCAGTGCTCCACGCTCTGTTTTTCCAAGTTCATTATAAAGTGAAATAACACAACGAGCTCAATGAGAAACAGTTTTGTGTGTGTGTGTGTGTGTGTGTGTGTGTTATTATAATAAACTTCCTTATTAAAGAGATGGGGCACCTATGTTTAGTTTTTCATTTAAATAATAGAAGAAACAACGGATAGCTTTGTAGGTGGTATGTTCTGAGGCTGTCATATAAAACCAATAAAAATAATGGAAACAAATCCACATGGACCCAACACAGAGTTTATCATTCTTTTCTTCCAAATCAGTACAATAAAGGCAAAACAGCTCTGCTTCCTACAGTAATCTAATGAAAGCCACACAACAGCTAAAGTGGTTAAACTTGGCTACTCAATGAAGTAAGTTTCACTTTCACTGTAAATAGGCTCAGATGTTTGCATAAAAGTACCCATTACTTTCAAGGGCACAAATGGCATAACTTTGACACCTATTCTCAATTCACACTGCACTGCATTCTAAAATGCTCTTTAGTGATTATTACCTATCTATGGTTATACTTTAAAAAAATCAAGATTTAAAAAAATTAAGATCACTATACCCAGACATTAGTAAGCTTGCTGCACAGATACTTCAATAGTATTTCTCAGATATACTTACCCATTTCATTATATTGTCTCTTTTCAACCCACATCCATTTTAATGTTATTTTGATGTTATCTAATCTTTAAAAAACCCATCTTTCTCTACCCTCAAATTATCCAACATTTAAGAATTGATTTGTAATATAGGTACACATATCTGAATTAAATTGTAAATGTCTTTTTCTACATCTATCATAGATGCAATAAAGGAGAATATCTGTAGTTCAGAGTTGAAATGAGGAGTCCTTGGTGCTTTCTGGGCTTGCTTGTTTTTTTGCAGATGTTCTGCAAGATATTTCGTGCAGCTATTTAAACTAGGTAACATCATCAGTGCTAGGGTGCTGGGTTACTGAAACATCTGCAAAAAACAAGCAAGCTCAGAGAACACGAAGGACTCCTCAGAGATGGCTAGTTATTTATTAATGTTAGTATGCTTTCACATCGCCTTTTGTATCATTACATATGGTTGAGAAATAAAATAAATAATCTAAAGTGTGTTCAGATTAAGAAGGAAATTCTATTAATGCTAACCTACATTAAATAAACCTACCAAATATAGTAGTAAATATAATTTAAGGTAATTTCTTCTCAATTGATTGTTACTGAATTATATAACAGGAGAATCTAAATCATCCAAATAGATTTATTCTATACATACTCTTTTTGCATCTTATTATAAAATATTAATGTGACTCTTTGAACCAGCCTAAGATCGGTGGAAGACTCAATAAGGTAGCAATCAGTTTTAAATATACACTGCTCAAAAAAATAAAGGGAACAGAAGCAGAAGACATCCGAGATCTGAATGAATGAAATAGCCTTATTAAATACTTTGTTCGTTACATACAGTACTTGTGTGTTCCCTTTAGTTGTTTGAGCAGTGTATAAACTACTGTATATAAAGAACAAAGAATTTAATAAGGCTATTTCATTCATTCAGATCTCGGATGTCTTCTGCTTGTGTTCCCTTTATTTTTTTGAGCAGTATACATTCATGGCCTCAATAAAGTTTCTTGAACAAGATGCATATCTCATAGAAAATGCATTTCCACTAATTGCTTTTAGAAGATAAAATTGCTTTTAATAAAAATGTTTCTGTGCAAGACTTCATGAGATAGATTTTTCTATAAATCAAATTGCTTAATATTTAAATCCTAATAAATAACAATGTACAAAATATTCAGTTATGGGACATTCCACCTTAAAAATAGGCTCTTCGGAGTTTTATAGAAGTGAACAGTCTGTTTCAAAGTCAGATTCTTTCTTATTACCTGAGATATTACCCAAGATATCCTTGGTGTGACAAACAGGGTCTTCACTTTCTCCATCTTTAAAGTTACCAATTTCTCCATAGTACAGTGAAATTACAAGCTGCATTATACGGATAAACATAGGAAGCTGTTGATCAGTAATAGAAAGCTTCAGACTTTCAACTAAAGTATGAACCTGCAAGTACAGAGAAAAGCACATAATAAAAATAATCAGATTCCAACGCTCATGTTTAAGAAGCATCTGAAGACTGACAGGCATAGATATCATAGGAGAAAAAAATTAAACGTTCAGTGGGGTTGTCTTGGGTAAGTCTCTATCTTCTCATACAAAACGGACGTTGTGTTCCTGAACGTCCATTTTCGGGGCGCTGAGACTCCAATCCATGGACGGGTAGCTTCTCCTAGTTGCTGGGCAGAACTGAGTGCTAAACCTTCCCATTGTCAGGCCACGCCCACCTCAACCAATCAGCTTTCAGTCTTTCCTCACAAAGGTGCAGGAACCAGGCCAACTATGAAAAACATAACAATTTTAATCAAGAGAAAACAACAGAAACAGGAAGCCGAATGGGTGGGTATGGATTGGAGTCGCAGCGCCCCGAAAATGGACGTTCAGGAACACAACGTCCGTTTTCCATTGCACTGCTCCTCCAATCCATGGACGGGGATATACCCAAGTTCAGGAGCTCAGGGTGGGAGGCTGACTGGAGACCTCAGCCTGAGGCGTGGCCACTTGTTGTAAAACTCTACGTCCAAACGCTGCATCGGACGAGGCGTACTGATCAATTTTGTAGTGCCGGATAAAGGAAGTGTCAGAAGCCCATGAGGCTGCTCTACAGATTTCGGACACTGAGGCATTCGTAGACCAAGCTGCAGATGCGGCCGCACTGCGTGTTGAATGTGCGTAGATCTTAGCCGGACGGGGGCGTTTTTGTATGTCGTAGGCCGTAGTGATGCAAGCTTTAATCCACCTGGCAATTGTAGTAGATGACACCTTCTTCCCCATCGAGGAAGGGGTGAAAGACACCAACAAGGATTCAGTCTGCCGAAAGGACTCAGTACGTTTAATATAACGCCGAAGAGTACGCCTAACGTCCAAAGTATGCCATAAGGACTCAGTCTGATGACGAGGATTCGGACAAAAGTTAGGTAGAACCAACTCTTGAGTGCGGTGGAATCGTGAATTTATCTTAGGTAAGAAAGATGGATCCAAGCGCAGGATCACTCTGTCACTATGAAAGATACAAAGGTCCTTGTGGACGGATAGCGCAATGAGCTCCGATACGCGTCGAGCTGACGTAATGGCTAAAAGAAAGGTGACTTTGAGCGTCAGAAATTTTAGAGATACTGAAGCCAAGGGCTCAAATGGCGACGTTGTAAGCGCTTGAAGGACTAACGGAAGATCCCAGGATGGGTACCTATGTATCACCGGAGGTGAGATGTTGGAGGCCCCATGCAGGAAACTCTTAATCCTAGGATTATGGGAAAGAAAATGGTGTTCCTCGCACCTAATGACTGTGGATAAGGCGGCCACCTGGCGTCGAAGCGTGGCAGGAGCAAGACCTTTTGCTAGACCACCATGTAAGAAGTTCAGAATGTCCGGGATATCTGCAGAGGTCGGGTCCACGTGATGGGCCACACACCAGGCAGCGAATGTACGCCACGTAGACTCATAAATTCTAGTAGTGGAAGGGCGCCTGGCAGCTTGGATCACCTTTATGACATCGGAAGACAGTTTGTCCTTCTGTAGCTGGAGCCGCTCAAGCGCCAAGCGGCCAATCGGAGCCACCCTGGATCGGGGTGGACGATGGCCCCTTGGCTGAGCATCTCCTCCTCCAGTGGTATTACCCACGGAGGAGAAGCGGACAGTCCCACTAGGTCTGCATACCAGGGCCGGCGAGGCCACTGAGGAGCTATCAGAATCAACTCGGCTCTCTCCAACAACACCTTCCGAATCAGTCTTGGAATCAGCGGCAAGGGAGGGAAGGCATAGAGAAGTCCTGGAGGCCACTGACAGCGTAGAGCGTCGTAACCCTCTGCATCGATGGTCGGGTAACGTGTGTAGAACCTCGGTAGTTGGGCGTTCTGGGGCATGGCGAAGAGGTCCACCTGAGGGCGGCCAAATTGTCCCACTATCTGATCGAAGAGGGCAGGCTTGAGAGACCACTCTGCAGGGTCCAGGTGCTCCCTGCTGAGCCAGTCCGCCATGATGTTGTCCTGCCCCGAAATGTGGTCTGCCACCAGAGATGCCGTGTGCCTTTCCGCCCAAGCCAACAGGCTCTCCGACTCCATCATCAGGGATCTGGAGCGCGTGCCTCCCTCCCGATTTCTGTGTGCCTTGGTGGTGACGTTGTCCGTCCGGACCAGCACATGTTGACCCTCCAAGGTGTGAACAAAATGGCGCAAGGCGAGACGAACAGCCCTCAACTCCAGCAAATTGATGCTGTTCGTCCGCTCCGCCGGAGACCACTGACCTTGAATCTCTGCATTCTGCAGATGGGCTCCCCAGCCCGACAGGCTGGCGTCGGTAACCAGAACCACTCGGTCCGGTTCGAGAAAGACACATCCTTTTTGCAGTGCGGGGGACCTCCACCACGTGAGTGACAGTCGAGCTTGTGGGGGCAAGACAATCCGATGGGATGATGAGCTGTGGTTCGTTCTCTGGAAGGGAAGCAACAGCCACTGAAGGGGGCGGGAATCTCTGCGTGCCCACGGAACGACATGGATGCAGGATATTAACTTCCCCAACAATTGATTCAACAGGAGCAGAGACACTTTCTTCAGGGACTGAACTTGCCACACCATAGATCTGATGTCGCAAACGCGATCTGGGGAGAGAAAAACCTTCCCTAGCTGGGAATCGATCACAGCCCCCAGGTGTTGGAGCCATGTCGTAGGCGTCAGATGGCTCTTTTGCCAGTTGATAGAGAAGCCGTGGTTCTGGAACGCCTGGAGGACCACCTCCATGTCTTTCCTCACCTGCGACGGGGACGTTGACATTACCAGCAAATCGTCGAGGTAGCAGCTGAGACGTACAGAGCGAGATCGGATTGAAGCCGCGACTACCGTCACCAATTTTGTGAAGGTCCTGGGGGCCGAGGACAGACCGAAAGGCATCGCACGGTATTGAAAATGCATGTTGTTGTATTCGAAGTGAAGGTAGCGCCGGTGCAATGCGTGGATAGGGACATGCAGGTATGCTTCGCGGAAATCTACAGATTGAAGATAGTCCCCTTGTCTGATAGATGCCAAAACTGTCCTGAGGGAGTGCATCTTGAACCTGCGATACAGAATATATTGATTGAGGCGCTTTAGGTTCAAGATGCCCCTGTGGCCCCCCGATGACTTGGGCACCAGAAATAAGGTAGCGTAGAATCCAGTTCTCTCTTGACCTTGGGGCACCGGCTCCACGGCGTTGATGGAGAGGAGGTGTGAAATCTCTGCTTCCATGAGCCCCCTCTGAACCTTGCACCGAGGGATGGGGCAGCGGCGAAAGGTGTTGGGTGGTAGAGTGTGGAACTCGAGGCGAAGCCCCTGTTGGATGGTCGTGCGGATCCAAGTGTCGGTTGTCGAGAGGTCCCACTGAAGGTAGAATTGCTGGAGTCGACCTCCGATAGGACCCGGAATCGACGAGTCACTTCCCTCTGCGTGGAGGGCGGTAAGAGGAGCCTCTGAAGGGGCGCTTCCCTTGGGATTGGTTCCTAGATCTGTCACGAAATGGCTGTCTGTCTGATGTTCGGTCAGACATCTGGGAATAAGAGCGTTGGTAGTATGGACCGCTCGACGTCGAGGACGAACGAAAGGACTGGCGCTGTGTATAAGGTGTATATCTCCGCTCTGCACGGCGAAAGGAAGACGGTAACACCTTGCGCTTGTCTTTATCTTCTATCAAGATTGGCTCCAGACAAGGACCGAATAGTGATGGGGCTGTAAACGGAGCCGAAGCCAACTTCCATTTAGCTTTGTTGTCTGCGCGCCAGTTTCGTAGCCAGAAAAGACGCCTGTTGGTCACTGTTGCTGCCATAGCTCGAGAAGCAAATTTTGTCACCGTCAAGGAGGCATCTGCGGAGTATTCCATTGCTGCCACAAGTTTATTAATGTCCTGGTGCACCCTGGTGCCCTGGGGGACAACCTCTCTTGCCGCTGGCGGAGCCAGATCAGAGAAGCTCTGTTGAAAAAAGACGTGGCCATGGCTGCCTTGATAGCCCAGGCCACAGCTTGGTGCGCTTTACGGAACCCCATTTCCATTCTGCGGTCCTCCGCCTTGAGGCCATCCACCACATCTGAAGTCAGCATCGAAGAGGTAGACAAAGCAGCGACCGGGGCGTCAATGGAAGGGACAGTCAGAAGTTCCTCCAGATGTGACTCAGCAGAGTAAAGACGTTTGTCCAGGCCACTCGGGGCAGTCAGGGAACCTGGTTGGCCAAAGGCAGATGTAATGACATTGGAAAACAAGGGAGGACAAGGAATCACGTCCTGATCTTGTTTAGAAACGTGAAATAGAGCTTCGTGTGGGTGTTGAGAATCAGAAGACTTTTCAGCGGTCCCTTCTGCAATGCCAAATTTTGTAGCGACCTTGGCTTTATGAAGCAAGGATTTGAAGACAGAAGGCCGGAACAAATTTGTGAAGGTGGGCTTCTCGGGAGGGAGATCCTCATCCTCCGAGAATTCGACATCTTCTGGACAAATTTCCCCTTCCTCAGATTCTTCAGAGGAAGATTCAACAGGACGTTGCCTACTAGTGCTCGGAACTGCTTCATTAACTGGGACCGGAGCTGAAGAAGATTGAGAGGTGTTGACTGGCCGAGCCACCTCCTGTTGTATGCCAGCAGCCAAGATCTTTGCCAGCGCATCTGACAACATAGACTGAAAACTCACAGGTGTGTCAGGAACCTCCGGGCGGAGCCCCGCCGCAGTAGGAGTAAACGTAGCCTCCGGCACCCGTCTGCTGCCCAATGGCGCATCTGATTGGCTGGAAACATCTGGCAATGACATTGACACTCCTTTGGAGCGCTGTAAGTTGGAAGCAGCGAGCCTGGTAGATGATGAGGCAGATTCGGCTTGCAAAATTCCAGAAGGATCAGCCCAGTCCTGAGATGTGGCAAATTGTCTGGACAGATTTGCTTGTTGGAGCTGGGCCCTCTCAAATTGCTTCTCTAAGGCTTCATGGCTCCTCTGCTCCGCCTTGTTGGTGGTGGAAGACTTAGAGGATGACTTGGACTTGCGAGACTTGGATTTAGTTTTCTTACTGCCTGACTTATGTTGAGTGGCAGGGTATTCACAGGCGCCCTCTGAATCAGAAGATAAGGCAATGTCTGCCATGTTGAATGAGGCAGAAGAGGGCAGGCCACAAACCAAGTCCAACAGATATCTGCCCGAGGCTTCCCACCAGGAAAATGCCCACAGTGCAGTTCCAAGTGAGCAGGGGTAAAATTAGGCTCAGAAGCTGCTGAGCTCAAATCCCCATTATAAGACAACCAAGTCAATCAGGCAAGGGAGTTATAAAGTTGACAGGCCTTGGTCAGGACACAGGGCTACAAGTCATTAAGGGTGGTTAATAATGCACAAAACACCCACCGCTAGCCGGCAACAGTCTCTTGTTTGTCTTTTTTTTTTTTTTTAATCTTGCCTCTCCAAAATGGCGGCCGCCACGCTGACAGAGTCCCGAAACAAAATGGCGGCCGTCACAAACACAGAAATACTTGCTGAGGCGTTGGAGCTTGATCTCCCAAGAAAGGCACCTCCGAAGACGAACCACAGCGATCTGGTTAACGGGCGCCTCAATGCAGCCCGGAAAAAACGGCGCTGAAGGTGTACGACAGGCAGCACTTGCCTCCGCTAGCGCTGCACGCTTTAAGCGCTCCCCAGCTGATCTGCCAACATCGGAGGCCGCCCGATGACAGGGCAGGCACTCCGGAGCCACTCGTTAAGGACGGAGCTGAGGCTAGGGCAGCTCTAACGCCTCAGCGGAAGGCTAGCCTCTCGCCAGCGGCAAAGGAAGCACGGATCTGCCCAGCCGGGTCGGAATCCGGCGTGCTGCAGCCCCGATCGGCAGGGAGATAGGCCAGGCGGCTTGAAGCTCCAAGCACACCTCAGGCACACAGCAATAGGAATCTCCCTCGTGGCAGCTCCTCAGTATAATCAAAGATGAGAAAGAGAAAATAATAAAATAAAATAACAAAGTAAGAAGTAGGGAAGGTAAATTCTAATTAGAGAGCACTCAAATTGCCAAGTTCTCACAGCAACTGAGTGAGAAAGACTGAAAGCTGATTGGTTGAGGTGGGCGTGGCCTGACAATGGGAAGGTTTAGCACTCAGTTCTGCCCAGCAACTAGGAGAAGCTACCCGTCCATGGATTGGAGGAGCAGCGCAATGGAAAACAACTTCGAAACCAAACAAATATAAACTTTTATTCTCAGTAAAATAGACATAACCAATACAATTCTGAAAGAAAATACTTTATCCTTAATAGTTCTAATAAGGAATAGTTAAAGCTAGCACTAATTCAAAAAATTAAAGTCCATGATCTAACCAATACCATTAATACCCTGTTCTGAAACATTTTGGATATTCTAAAATGTACACATTCTAAATTGGAAAATCTACTTTGAGAGAATAAAGCTCAGAATTCCATAGAAATTGGCCACTACCTAAAAAAAATAATTTGTTGATAGTGATCCAATATTTCTGAATATTAATCTTCAGTTCTACAGTCAAGCCTGTTTGAAATTTGTAATAGCTAATAAATTGAAGTTACACTGAACAGCTTTAAATGTCCTTTATGTTGAATTGGTAGCCTGCATTAGAAGACTGAAACCACATGCTACTGGATAAATTATGCACAAAACAACTGCTTATTACAGCATGTGGCATCAATAATACTAGTAAAATTAACTGCACATAGGGATAGATGAATTACAATACACAAGTCCACATCTGGAAACAACTTCAATATAGATAAAGTTACGGAGCTTCCTCAGTTTTATGTCAGAAATAGGATAAATTTCCAAAAATATATGGTGCTATTGACTCTTGGATTTAGCTGATGATGCTGGTCCCAAGATACATATTAAGATATGTCACCTTGACATAAGATTAAAATAAAAAACTTCAAAAAAATATTCTGTACTCCAAACTATATGATTTCTTTCCTTTAGTTATATTTTTTTCTATTAACCATTGTCATGCCAATATCAAGGAAGAAATAAGGCGTCCAGAATTTCATAGAGTAACATCACTGTACAACATGGATAAAGTTAATACTTAAAACAGAAATTCCTGAAACTTAAATTCTGGTCATGGGTCAGAACACAATTCTCTCTTCTTCTTCTTCTTTTTTTTTTTTTGTTTCAGCATAAATGTACCTCAAAAAAAAACCTTCAGTTATCTATTTTTGGATTTTCAAGAATATATGACCCGATTATCAGGAAATCTACTTACTTTAATAATGGATGGCATCTTCGAATTAAGATTATCATAAGTGAAGTGCAAGCGAGTTCTAAACGAACACTTGTATAGCAGAGGATCTTGATAAAATTCAATTTTGCCACTAGCATTCCTCTTGTCTAGGCAAACTGTACAATCAGAAAAGTTTATCACTTTCCTTAGTACCAAGTCAGTTGCTATGAAAAGAAAGAAAAATATTGTTCCATTTTAATAGCAAGACAAAACAAATATTGTATGATTATTTATATTCTGCTTAATTTAGAAAGAACCATACATGGCAAGACTGAATAAGCTTTTTTCAAAATAACAGCCAACCTTTGATTGGGACATTGGAAATAATGCTTCGAAAAAGGAAGTGCTTGGGACAACAAATATACAATAAATAGTACCAGTATGAAAACTACATTTGCATTATCTTTCATTTAAAATAAATATGCAATTACTCTTGATGTATGAAATAACTCCCCTCCTTTCACATTAAAAATAACACCACCCAGATTATGTATGCTTCTTTGATATATAACAGAATAACAGAGTTGGAAGGGACCTTGGAGGTCTTCTAGTCTAACCCCTGCTCAAGCAGAAAACCTGTTCCATTTCAGACAAATGGTTGTCCAATATCTTCGTAAAAATGTCTGGTGTTGGAGCATTCACAACTTCTGGAGGCGAGTCGTTCCACTGATTAATTGTTCTGTCAGGTGTGGCAGCCCTTAGATATTGGAGCACTGCTATCATGTCACCCCCCGTCCTTTTTTTCACTAGACTAGACAAACCCAATTCCAGTAACAGTTCTTTATATCCAGAATTTGTTTAACATACATATAAAAAATAACGTTGGGGAGACTAAACTCAGGATGAGTTCCCAAATACACCCTGCTGCTTGGTATACATTTTAATAAGTCACTGTAGAATCTGGAAGCCTCAACTCCCCCACTCTCTCAAAAAGCTGTGTTTCTTGTTCTAAGGACACAACAAGGAAACACAAACATCTTATCCACAAAACTAGCTGGTCTGATGTTTCATATATCCAGTCAGGATTAATCATCTCTCTGCTAAGTTTTACAGAGCCCATTTACCTATCATGGTTCCCTTATTAGTTAATAGAACAACCATTTCCCAGTGTCTTTAACTGAAGACAGTGAGCTGGTTTTTTTAAGTCTGGCAGAAAGTTAGGACTTATAGATTACCTGATATATCCATAAAGGCTCGATCCCAAAATTCATCTACTGTGTAACATTCTGCAGAAGTAATATTAACAGAAAGAACAATATCGTCCTCCACATATTTGAGTATGAGATTATTAATGACGATGTTGACGTTGTTTATAACCCGCCAAATCAAACTTTGTACATAACCTAAGAAGGAAATATGAATATGGTCAGTCTTATTATTTGGGAATTCCACCGGCGAGCTGCTTAAAACAAAATAACTTTGTTAAATTTGACAATATATAAAATAAAATAAAATAAAATAAAATAAAATAAAATAAAATAAAATAAAATAAAATAAAATAAAATAAAATAAAATAAAATAAAATCCAAAAAAAGCTTTTAAATAAAACAAATGCCATCACCTTTTCTGGACTTTAGTCTTCAGTAATTATAAATATCAAATAGAATGGGCATTCCCCCCAAATCAGTAGATAATCATTATCCAGTGAAAGTTAATTTAAATATCACAAATTAATGCATAAGTGGAAATAACTGGGCTACTGATAGACCTCCATAGCAATCTCTATTTCCAAGAAATACTTCTTGCATACATTTTCCTCTGTGCACCCCAACTCATGCATCCTCTAATGCTGCAGAAAGAATGTTGAGAGACTGTGGTAGTGCCTTATTAGTGATTTATAGCAATTACTGTATTATCAAACTACAATTGTGCCAATATAACAATGAGGATAGGCTTTATATTGTTACAACAAAGGCTCAGTAATTTGTAGGAGATGCTACCAAACTCTAGTGAGGAAGTGGGCATAGATTTCCTTTTAGACAATTAACACCCTAAAATACTGATTTTTAAAAAAAGAAGTCTTTGCAATAAGTTGATGCCTTAGAATTGCTTCATAAGTCCACATTTAGCAACTGCTTTGTTTAGTGATGATTCACAATTACAACGGTGATTTTTTAAAAAGCATTTTTACAACCAATCCTTACACTTGCAACCTTCATAGGTCTGCAAAACAAAGGAAAGCTGAAGTAAGATCATAAGCGCAGCTGCAGTTTCACCATTTTGCTGAGTAACAGAGCTGCAAGTCCCAATTGTGGTTGTGAAACAAGGACTACTTGTACTATTTGTAAGTCAATGTCCAACAAAAATAGATCAATTACTGATTTTCCAAGTTTATGTCTACTTAATTTTAATAACAAAGCAGAAATTCCAAGGCAGTGACAAATGCCCCCACAAAAACTTTCTATTCAGATTTGGGAAGTAGTGTGGTAACTCAAAAGGCCTGCTATAAACCTTGTATCTCCTACCTTTTTTCCACAACAGTTATTAAGTACCCAAATACAATATTTATATGGCAAATCACCTGGTGGCAAATCAGGGTCAGGAGAAGTCTGTTGAATTTTTCTTGGTTTCACTGTCGTTTTTGAACCTTCTGTAGTACTACGATTTGTTGAACTGGAACCACAACTTTCATGGTCATCCTAAAATATATTTTAAATTATTTGTTAAAAATCAGCAAAATAAGTGCAAACATTTGGTAGTTAGGTCATTTTTATACTTTCTTTAATTGGAATTAGTGACGTATTTGATTTATATCTCAGCTTTCAACTCAATCAGTATTTAAGACAGATTAAAAACAAAACACAGAATAAGCTTTAAAATAAATCAATACTAAAACACATTAACATTTAAAACCTGGCAAAGGAAAAATATCTGGTCTACTATTCTAAATGCAAAGAAAGTAGGAACTAAATGAACTCCAAAGCCAGCATTCCACAGAATAGAAATGATGCAGTGAGAGGTCCTCACTCACATGCCAGAAAATAAATCTATGACAGTTGAGACATCTTCAAAAGGTCTGCTTGGAGATCACAACTCGCAGTCAGGTTCATAAAAGCAATTCTTGAAATAGGCTGTACTCTAAAACAGTGTTTCTCAACCTTGGCAACATTAAAATGTATGGACTTCAACTCCCAGAATTCCCCAGCCAAAAGCATGGTTGGCTGGGGAATTCTTGGAGTTGAAGTCCACATATCTTAGAATTGCCAAGGTTGAAAAACACTGCTGTAACTCATTTAGGCTCAGGCCAACATTAAATTGTGGTCAGTAAGCAATAGGCAACTAATGTACATTTTTCAGTTCAGACAACAGTTAACAGCCCAGATGCCATACAGTATTTTGTAACAATTACAACTTCCAAATATTTTCAAGGGTAGTCCCTTAAAGTAGTCAAAACTAGATGGAACCAAAGTATAGACAAAAATGTTGCCAAATTTGACTGACTTAGGAATTATTGCACTTGTAACTATAAATGTACTTCTTGCCCGAACATCCTCTGTAAATTTATTGATAGCTGAGGATCAAGAAACACTTTTAGATTTATCAATCAAAGGTAGTATAAAATCATGTAAAATAATGTAGAAATAAGCTTGAGGAAAGAATGGAAAAGATCTTAAGGGAAGGATACAGTAACTCACATCCTGAAAAATGTGAAAAGGATACCCAAAATAGCCTCTGACATCTGGTTGATATAGGTGAGGATACAAAGAACTCTGCAGCCTTTTAAGATTCTGTTACTATATTCCAAAACAATAAAATAGAATTGCTGTAATCCTTGTGATGTCTCTTTCCTAACCTGGCCTACCTCTAACCAGGGGTGTCAAACTCACATCATCACAGCAGCATCACGACGTATCGGGACTTTTTTCCCCTTCACTACAATGGGTGTGGGTGTGGCCAATGCGTGACACATCCGGCCCACAGGCCAGAAGCTTGACAGCCCTGCTCTAAACCAACCCAAATTGGCTGAACCTCAATCCCAACTAGTTTCCTACTGACAGCAGGACCTCGGTTTCTGTTCTTCCTAATCTAGCCCATTAACAAATCTAAATAATACTTAGTAGTAGTGACTACTCCCTTACAATTTGATGCAAAGAGCAATTAAACCTTTGTCATCCACAAACAAATAACATCCAATTCTAAAGGTCCACATGACTTCCCCAGCAATTTCCTAAAGATGCTGAACAGCACAGGTGCTGTAAAAGTTGGTTCCCAGACTGATAAAGTTTCAAGAGACAGTTACGTGAACAACCAGCTGCTAATTTCCCCAGTACCGCAGAAGAAACCTGACTGTTTACTAGTTTGTGGAAAAGCTGCATAGAGGAATCAGACAATTTTCACCTAAATACACACAGAGCTGTATTGGTACCAAACTGAGAGCAATTCACCTGTTGAAATTCTTATATTCCTACTCCTTGCACATCAATAAACCTTGCTAAAGAAAACTATGAGAATCATGTTTGAAAAAGAAATAGGCTAAAGATACAGAAAGAATTATCTGCCAAAATCCAAAGTTAACCATAGCTGATTTATTTAAAGACTTCTGGAAGAATAAAAAACAACCTTAAGTACAGAGAGTTTTAAAGACAAATGACAGAATTTGAAATGCTTATACAGAACCAAGGCTGCCTATTAAGACTTATGTGTAAGTTACTATTAAAATAATAACAAGACAGAAGAGGTAAAAGGTTTTATGATAAAGTAGATGCATTTTTAAATAAATAATTACTACACTTTACAATGGAAAGATTTATTTTAAAAAAAATCAATAAAATTTACCCCGCCTTATAATTTAAGAGAAAATTGATAGAAAATGTTTACATTTGATACTTCTTTCCCCTTCCATTTCTGATGGATACTGTCTGATTCTTGGATACTGTCTGAACAAGTCCCTGCAGTTTTCTTGGCAAGGATTTTCAAAAATGGTTTGCCATTACCACCTTCCTGGAGCTGAGAAAAAGTGACTGGACCAAAATCATCCAGCTGGCCTTGTGCCTAAGGCAAGACTTGAACTCATGGTGTTCCAGTTTCTACTGTGATGCCTTCACCACTACCCCATATTGGTACAAATCTCAAAAATTGCTAAATCATAGAATACCACCTGTTGGAAACATTACAGTACCAAAGCAACCTGTTATTCTATGTGGTAGTCATTAAAAAACATTCAAAAGTACTGGAAAGAAATTCAAAGAAGTTTAAAAATAAAGCTTGAATTGAAACATCCGTTTTTCTCTCTAGGAATCTTTCCAGAACAAATAAATATTTAAAGAAATCACAATTTATCAAGGTATGTGTTGACAACTACAAAGAGTAATTTGATCCAACTTGGGGGGGGGGGAAGGAGGGCATGGGACAAGAATAGGTGGGCTAGGGAAAGAAAGCACAGAGAGCATGCATCTGTGCAGGCAAGCAGGGAATGCCAAGAAAGAAAGTGCCAGGTACACGCAAGCATGCGTGTGCGCAAGTAGGAAGGAGAATGTGGGTGCATGTGAACAGAGCGGGGCAAGAGGATGTGGTGCATGCAAGTGAAGAAATGTCAGGAGAGCTGGGGGATATTACTTGCAATCTTCTCTGCTGGCTTTCCCATTGACTTTGTTAGCAGGAAAGACCATAAATGGTAATCACATGACCATGGAATACTACAACTGGTCATAAGTTTGAGCTGGTTGCCAACTGGCCAAATTTTGTTCATGTGTACATGGCAGCACTGCAAAAACCCAAACCTTAAGGACCGGTCATTGTTTGGTCAGTACCATTGTAACTTTGAATGATTGCTGAACGAATGAAAGATTGCAATTTGAGTACTATCTTAAGTCACTGACAGCCAGTTTAGTGCCATGACTAAACTAAGTTTAGTTAACTTAGTTTAACTAAGGTTTAGAAATCAGACAACCATGAGTTTAGTCTTTTCTTGGACACAAAACCAGCGCTCAGCCTGAGGAAGAAGGTAATGATAACGTTCTTCTGAAAAATGTTGCCATGGACTTTTTTGTATAATTAACATGAGTCAAAATTGAGTCAATGACAACAAATACAATCTAAGTGACTAGCTCTTTGGAATGGTGGTTACTTAGGAAGGTGATTCTGCACAAAATGATGATGTAGCTAATGTACTTGGTTCAGTGATAAACTCATATTGCAGAGAGAAAAGAAAATTAGTTGAGAAAAAATCCTGAAGCAGCTTGTGCTATTGAGCATTATTTTTAACTCCTGGAATATTGCCTTATTGGCCAAGATTCTCAAATTAAAGATGGAACCCAAGGATTAAGAATGGTTATTCTACAAAGAACTTAAATCTTATAATTAAAGGAATAAAAATACTGTAAGGTATTTACATTGATCCTTCCATTTGAGTAAACTATTTGAGTTCCTAAAATAGTTGATACTACACTTAAATCTATAATGACTAAATAGTCCTGAATTAATTCTATTGCATTAAGTGTGATTTATAACCCAGAAAATACATTTTTGATTAAAACTTGAGATCTGATTTAAAAACGGTAAGATTTCAAATCTAAATAGTTTAACAATGTAGTTTGTTCTATTCTGTAGAAATATTTCTTCCTAAAAAGTAAAGCCTACCTAGATTTTAGCTCAAGTCCTAGTGGCCTCAAAGACTATCCATGTGATTTTCTTGGCAACAATACATAAGCTGTTTGCCAATGACTTCTGCGATGTTTTTTCAACTTCCCAGACTACAGCCCTGATACTGCTTTGAGGTCCCCTATCCAAATACTAATTAGAACCAATCTAGTTTAGCTTCCAAGCCTAGCCAAGGTCAGCCAGGTGCTGCCACCTGCTGTTACATGTTTATTTTATTTCAATTATTTAACTAAGATTAGGCTGCTTTCCAGTTACAGTCAGAAAGTGATCCTATTAGTGCTGACACTGAACATACTTTTACTAGAATCATTATTTAACAACGTTGATCATAAATGTATTGCACTATACTATACTTTAATATGTCTGTTACACAAAAAATTACACACACTAATTAGGATCCAATACATCTGTAACTACATCCCCATGACCCAACAAGACAGCTGCACTCTTGTGGGACAACGACATTTAGGAATTCCTGACAAATGCATGAGATCCGGAGCTAAAGCATTATGGGTTGAGGGGATCTAACTACAGAATGTGCTCCCTCAGGAATGCAAGTGCCTGGAATTCAAGCAATGTTAAGACATATGGCAAAATCTACCTCTTTTATAAAATTTTCTCCATTAAGAGAAACAAATTTAAATTTGCAAAAATCTTTTACATTCTTTTCCAAAAGTGGCTTGTTAAAATCAATAAAAGGCAACATGTAAATTCATGTCATATAAATAAATATGTAGAAAAGAAAATGACAGAATGACGTGACAGTTTTCTCTACAAAGAACTGCGTGAAATTACAGTTGAACAAGTTGGGAGAAAACTAAGCCATCAAATTAAGGACAGTTTACTTGCCATTCTTTTTTTAAATAGCCTTGGTATTTTTCAATTGGGTCATACACTAATCTACACAGATAAGCAAAACATTTGATTCTTCAATGAAAATTCATTTAAAAAATAATTTACTTGGGAATTCCTAATATTCTGATGTTTACATTACATCAGCATGATCTATGGCCCATTTAAAAACGATGTTGAGATTAAG